TAAACTAAACTAAACTAAACACGTAGTACTTTTTAGTTTTTATAAGAGGTTGTACTAAAACTCTGTTTCTATGCAGGAAACACCACATAGAGCTCAGTTATTTATTCTGTTTAGTCCATGTTAAACATGAAATATTGAAGTTAAATACRAAGGGTCAGTGTAGTGCTCATCAGTGAGAATGAAGTGAGCTAAAGGTTTCTGGATGGTTGTAGTGAGCTCAGATCAAACTGATTTATTTCATGTTAACTTATGAAGTTGGACTTTTTTATTTATGTTTTCTTGTGTWCCTGACAGGAACCATGTTAGCTCCTACTTTAGCCTTCTGGGGTTTAAATGGTCTCCTGCTGTTGGTGGACATTACCGGTAAACCGTCTTTCATCACCCGCTACCGTATCCAGGAGGACAAGAACAATCCGGTACGTTCCATTTATCATTTATTTAATGAACTTTTTAATCCTCATCGTCCGTTAACGTAAACAAGCTGTTTGTAGGATAAAATATTCTTTCTTCCAGCCTCTAATTCCTGCGGCCTGAACACGTGAGGCGTTCTGATCAAAGTCCTCTGGTTGTGTTTGATTAACAGGCTTGTTGTGCTGCAGAGATAAAGACTCACATCACTAATAGCTACAGTTAGCAGAAAATAATCATGTCTGTGATAATCTATCAGGTCATAACACAGGCTGCTGCTTTATTGAYGCTGTAAAATAAATATATAATTTTCCGGTTTTGTCTTAAAAATCAAAAGAAATAACCTAAAATGATGTCAAGTGTTCATGTTTTTATTTGACCTGCTCCTTCAGTGTTCATTCCTTCACTCAGTTTGATACAAACTGTGCAGTTCATCACATTTATTGTGTGATTATAATGTTAGAGTTGTTCCAGACACTCATAAAAGCTGATATCTGTGACGATCTGCTGAAGCTTTTTGCACGAAGGTAGTCCCCAGGAAAAAACAGCTTGTGTGTTTGGTGAAGCAACAAGTCATGTTCCTGTTTAATCAGTTCAGTCRCACACATCTGCACACATCTGCACACATCTGCACAGTCAGCTAATCCACTCATTCTGTTGCTCCCACCTAAAGGACCAAGAACATTTTGATAACATCAGATTAGATCTGTTAGGAAGAACTATTCAACAAAAACAGCTAAATCTGAAATGGCTCATTGAGCCAAATGTTGCAGGAAGTAAAACACGAATACAAAAATCCATGTTTTGTTCTTTGGTTTTTGGTTTCAAAATGAGAAAAAAAAAACAAATGATCAAGTTTATTTTATTTTTTTTTTTTTTACTACAAGACAGAAACTATACAGAAGAGGATTAGGGCCAGTGAAAAAAATATAAAAAGGAATTCTGAATTTTTTCTCTCAGAATTCTGATTTTAACCTCAGAATGCTGAAAAAATGTTATAATTCTGAGATTAAAGTCAGAATTTTGAGAAAAAGTCAATATTTTGAGAAAAAAGTCAAAATTTTGAGAAAACGTCAGAATTCTGAGATTAAAGTCAGAATTACTTTTTTTTATTTTTTCACTGGCCCTAATCCTCTTCTGTAAAACGACAATTGCAAAAGTCAAAAAGGCTGTTTTTTAGTCATTGGTTGATGCAAAGACAAGCATTATATTTATTTAGTGCACCATTTGTTACTTTCTAGCAGATCGTTATGTTTTCACTTCTCACTGTGGAAATGTTTCTTATTTACAGGGAATCATTGAGACCTGATGATATCATGAACAAAATTSCTTTAATATTTGAAGTTTTTCTGAATAAATACATAAATAAAAATTAAAATACATTTATTTTGGATTTAAAGATCAAAAATCAAACACTGTGGAATTTTAATTAGTTTGATTTTCCTTTTTTTCATTTAGGTTTGAAAAACAGAAAAGCAACACAGGTTTTATTTATTTATTTGTTTTAACAGAAAAACTAAAGAATGAACCAGACACAGATTCACAAAGTACAAGATGTTAAAGTGCTGCTGTATATACAGTATTTTAGAAAAAATCATAGTTTTCATTCACACTGGCCTCATGTCATCATGAATGTCTTTGCGTTTAAAAACTATAAAGTTTTGGGCAACTCAACTTGTAAAAATTTTCTTATGACTATTTTAGTTTTATCAGCTAAATAAAATCTACCTGCTAGAATTACAGGATGTACAGGTCTAAATGAGGCTTCCTGTATATATGTTTTTCAGCTTAGACGTCTTTAGTGTTGGACAAACTTTTCATAAGATGGCATAAATCGTCAAACATTATGTGACAGGGCTTGAAGACATACAGTATATTATTAATTTTAACAAATTAAATAATAATAATAAACAGTGTTTTGCAACTGAGGTGTAAAACCACGTCTTCTGGTTCAAGTGGAACTGCTGCTGCTCAATGAAGAGAGAAACTCTGAAACAGGCTGGTTGAACAGCAAGAATCTTTATTTTTGCAGTCCAGGAGATTACAGCCAAAAACCAAATTGTGGCCTTCAATGCCAAATGATTCACCAAGTAAGAAAGATGGAGAACGAAGGCCAAGAGTGGGGGCGTACAAGGCTTCTTTATAGGCTTCACACATGTACCATAAATTTTGTCACGGTGTACCTTCTTCCTAATATGGTAATATGTGCCGAGCTCTGAAAGCTGGAGAACCAAGAGAGGCATAACACATCTGTGTATTCCTGAGAAGAGCCCCCACTCTTGGACACTACACAACAGAACCATCAGTCATTTAATCTACTTGTTCAGAAAGGAGTGTGAAGTTTGCACTATTTTAAAATTCCTGCCCCTTTCTGCCATTTATCAATCTTCAGTTTACTTTAAAATACGTGTTATAGTACATATAGTAGTAATAGTTATATATTATATGAATAGTTTACTGCGTCCACAGTTCATTCTGGTTTAAGTGAATAATTTGTGAAATTGGACGTGGTTTTATCGTCTCGGTGGTCCTGCAGGTTGACCCAGTGAAGCTTCGTCAGGCGGTGAAGACGGTCCTCTTCAACCACGTCTGTATCTCAGGGTCCATGGTGGTGGTAGCCCACCAGCTGATGTCCTGGACTGGAGATCCCTGTGGCCCCGAGCTGCCCACCTTCCACCGGGCCCTGCTGGAGCTGGCTGTCTTCTCCATGCTGGAGGAACTCCTCTTCTACTACTCACACAGGCAGGAGGCGCTAACCTCACAGCACCTGCAGATGTTTGGATGCAGATGTTTAATTTGATTCCACTGTTTTTGTTTAGGTTGTTCCACCATCCCAGCCTCTACAAGCTTTATCACAAACAGCACCACGAGTGGACCGCTCCCATCGGCATCGTCTCCATCTACGCTCATCCTCTGGAGCACGTGGTGAGAAGCTCCTCCCACCGTTTAAACCATGACGTGTCTCCTTTAAACGCAGATAACCTGATCTGTTGTTATTGGCTGCCTGCTGTCAGATCTCCAACATGCTGCCTGTGGCGATCGGGCCGGTGCTTCTGGGCTCCCACATCACCACCACCTCCACCTGGTACTGCCTGGCTCTGATCAGCACCACCATCTCCCACTGCGGCTACCACCTGCCCTTCCTGCCCTCCCCCGAGTTCCACGACTTCCACCACCTCAGGTGTTCGACCAACACAGGCTGCTTTTTCTTCTGCAAACACAAATTTATTCATGTTTCTTTGAAAAGAAAAAGGTTTATTTTCTCAGTCAACCAGCTTATCTACCTTTAAAAATCCATAAAGTAATGATCTAATAAAAGGTCAAAGTTTTAAAGTGAATCTTTAAAAAACACCAGTTTCACATTTAACTTCAGGAACGTTGAGTCTTAAAGGGGTCCCTGATTAGACTTTATTTAATAAACATATAATTTAACTGTAAAATAAAGACCACTGTAGAGCAGGGGGGTTAAACTCATTTTCACTGAGGGCCACATGAGAGTTATRGTGGCCCTCAAAGGGCCAGTTGTAATGAACTCTGTTTCATGTTTAACTTTGACTAAACAGAGTTTTAACACGTCCTCTTTTAAACACTCATAAGAACTAAGTGTACGACTGACTAAATCTGTAATAAATTCAGAAATATTATTAAAAGTAAAACTAATAAAGTTTCACTCACTGTTGAGTTTCTAGTGAGCTGCATTATGTCAGATTTAGTTTGTTTGATGGTGACTTTAAAGCAGTTTATTTTCAGACATTAATACTCTATCAACTAAATCGCTCAGTTACTTCAAGCCAACAGCTCAGCTTTATTTCATTTTTTAATGAAATTAATTTTGTTGCATTTGACCATAACTTTAAAGTTTACCATTGATATAAGAAACAAATTTCTTGTTAAGTAAAAAAAAAATTGTTTTTTCTTTTGGGTGGGGGTAACCTACCCG